GGTTTAGGGTTTAGTCTTTGGGGTTTAGGGTTTAGGGAACCGCAACGCACCAAACTGCTAGGCTGAAGCACTTGACCGCAGAAGCGGAACGACTGAGCTCAGAATGTGGGATTGCCAAAGCATGCCACCAACCTGCCTTCAAAAACAAAGCAGTGCAACTCCTGCGGTCTAATGACACCCTATATAATTATTATACACTCTACGCCATTATACGCCCAGGCGAGAAGTTGCTCCGCCCTTATATTAATTACCTATAGTCTCCATTGTAGCACCTTTTTGGGGTTACCTTCTATGTTCCTTAGTATAATATTGGTTAAAAACCAAAAAAAGGAACTACAATGGAGACTACAGGCCTCCGGTGCTCAGTTCGAAGACAGTGTGCCCCGCATGGCGCCGCCAGGCACAAGCAAGGGTTTAGGACCTGCCTTAACCCCAAAGAACCTACCGTTTTAAGGACTTCTCTAAAGAAATCATAATAAGGAGCCCTAAAAAGGTAGGTTTTTCAGGGTCCATGTAAGTATATCAGTACCAAATAAGACCCGGAGAAGCCAAGTACATAGATCACAGCTACTTTGGGGCCTGGAGCCTATGCATCGCACTTATAGTAAACCCCAAAAGGTTGGAAACGGGATTTAGGACAATAAGTGCTGGGATTCCCTGTGCATTACCCTGACGGCAATTCGGGATTTGCTTCGCTATTCTGGAGTCTATGAGCTTCTGTGTCGAGGTTTTTTGTAAAGAAACGGTAGTCCACATTCGGTCGCGTAAAGGGGCACGAGCTACCCCAAGGTTACGTTTTAGTTTCGGGAACTCCGCTGCCCAGAGTGAGAGCTCCCTTGACCTCAATACAATAAAAAGCCAATCGAACGCCAAGCCTTGAACCGCAAACCGTACCAGTTGGAGCTGGTGAGAACTTCCCGATGGTATAAAAGGGACCTTAGATGTACCTGCACTGGTTTCTCTATTGTTGGGGGCTATCAGGGGGTATAGTTTTTTGGAATTTCGCCCGGCGATATTACTCCGTGACCTGCAACAGAAATATCGAAGGAGCTGAATGATAGCGCTAGAACCGCAACAATGTATCCTACCCTCTAGATGTATGGACTAGACGGTGTTTTGGCACCTGCTCAGTTTGTGGGCTTCTTCAAACTACACTACGACACTGCCTATACGCAGTGTTGGGGTTTCCGTTTAGGACTTATAGAGGAAATCCGCGCTAGCGGGCACATGCTGCGAGTCACCCGAAATGGCATGAAGTCTAGACCATCAACCTCAACTGCATTTTCAATTTAAAACTAGAAACCGGAGACCCCAACACCAAAACCCGAAGCCCTCCACCTTCAACCCTAAACCCTCAGCTCTGATCCCTTGTGGCAACCCTTATTGTAGTAAACCCAATCATCCCTCTAGAGGAACCCTGAACCCTAAGCTTAAGCCCTAAACCCTAACGCTCAGGCCTAACTCCCCCCCCCGAACTGGAAAGGTCCTGAGAATTCTCATGCTGCCCTGTATTATGGCCGCAACCGAAGCATTCCGGAGATGGGGGGGTCTCGGGTTTGAGGATTTAGAGTTTTATAAGGCTTGCAGGCTTTAGGGTTTAGGATTATACGGCTGATGAAATAAAACCTGCATGAACCATAGTAATTAAGGAATATATCATTCATTTCCATAATGTAGGATCCTTAGGTAATGCAGGATTTATCTCATCAGCAGTAGTTACAGGGCTTGGGATTGCGTCTTTGTGGAGTGTTGAGCGCTGTTCCAACCCTAACGCGAAGGGTCCATGCACTATGGGGGCCTGAAAACTTAGACTAGTGTTTTGGGGCCCTCTATACCATTATTATTATAATAATAAGGAACCCCCAAAATATAGCATTGGTAATTATTTAGGCCCTTACATTACTGTTTCAGTATGTACTTTTGGGGCCCTGCCGTAGATAAATAAGGAGTCTTCTTCGGCCAAAGTATCCACCAAATGAGTACATGGACCCAGACGCTTTCAACCGAGCGAAGTTGCTGAAGCTCCCTGTCCAACCGCACCAAAAAACGGGCCTCAAGATAGAGCTTCCCTAAAACAGGGGGGACTTCGGAAGTAGGTAAAAAGTAGAGTGATAAGTATCCTGAAGGGGCCCCTCTGTGGAGCTATCCTACTGCAACCCGACCGAACAAGTGCTGATTACGTCTCATAGTCCTGAATATCTGAACCCCCCAACTCTCATGGAACCTCACTAGTAATCTTCTCGAACAAATTAGGGGTGACTGGGTACCTTAGTCAGGGGTCCTCAGAATGAGGATCTTACTATGCCAGGCTTGCAGTAGAGCCCCTTATGCTAGGGGACGCCCTGTGCTATATCCCTAAACCCTAAACTCCATGCCATATGCTGCAGCAGTTGTAAGTTGCCTAGCACCCTCAAGCCCACATGCCCCGAAGTTTCCAGGAGACGCTACGTACGGCTGGTCTCTCCACCTTCCTGATGCGACGCTACCAGGCAGTGCTCTCGAATGTTACACGGGGACCCTTAATGCGGCCAGTTTTGGTGACCTTTGTTTTCTTTTACATAGCTCCGGAATTTAAAACACAGGGTCCCAGGTTGTCAACAAATTGCAATCCAAGCTCTTAGGCAGGGTTTCTAGAACAAGTCGGAAACTTTCAAATGCGAAAAACGCGCTTCAAACTTAACACAGCTAAAGATCCGATAACGTTCAGCAAGGGTGTAACCACCCAAATAGGTGGGTACCATTACCGATAACTATTCGGAGGATAACATGCGGCACTTGGCCCCTCAGGCACCATCAAAGATCGAAGAACATGCATCAATAAAGCCGTTTCCAAACCTTCCCACAGAGTGTAAAAATGGATCGTCGTAGAATGTTGCATTCCGTAACACCTAGACTAACAGAATTGTATTGTCAATTCGTCGGGACACTACGCAAGTAACTGCTAGTATTGCCAGCGTGCCGGGCTTTACGTTTGGCTCTCGAACCGCGATATAAGGTGCGCATACAAATGTGCAAAACAGGGGCCTGCATTATTACTCGTGCTATTCCGCTTCAGTCCCGATATGATTATGCCAAGATGTACCGTAACACCCCATTCTATTGATGAAGGCCACTGCTATGTAGAACCAGGTCCCTTGTAGAACCTTGCAAGTAACACTCCAAAGGAACCCTACTCTAATTATTGGGGCCCCTTGTGAAATATGTCTTTGTGGGATTTACCGGGGTTTGTTGCTGTTCATGACTGTGAGGAAACGACATCGGCATTGGCATACATCTGAGGAGCGCGGTTATAGTGGTTGAGGGTTTAAGGGTTTGGGATTTAGGGTTGGTATGGGAATCAGACGTTGTGTTTGTGCCGTTTGGAATCTGATCGCCTAAGACAACTGAGTCGTATTTGTTTGTGCTTCCTGGACTTCCTGCCTAGCAGGATATTGGCGGCACACTCCGAATGGAGGTGCCTCCTGCTGTTTCACCTTGCTGCATGGCAGCTGCAAGCAGTTGCGTCGTGCTTAAGCAAAATGCATGTTCGAGTTTGCCGGTCTCGCGACTCTCGAAACCACCTTCCTCAGACCAAACCCAAAACCCAAGGCAGTCATTCCCCCAAGCGCGTCTCTCTACAGCCGCTACAGCCTTTTGACTAACCGAAAACCGTGAACCCGACACTCTGCTT